TGGGAATAATGGTGATTTTCTCACACACGCGCTTGTTGGTATGGAAGTTGTTGCCCAAGCCAGTGTAGTATTTCTTAATGATGACCCGGGCCGCCTTCTTCACGGTTTTGGTGCGAATGCAGCCCATGTTGATGGGTCCCTGATAAAAAAGTCAGCATTTCTTAAGTTGAACAAATTAAAGAAAAATCTCAAGCCTTAACTTGCAGTATTCTAAGGGTAAATTATTGAACGATGCAGGAAGCATCTAAAGAAGATGGAAGGAATATAGGAAATCACTGTACCAAAAAGAACTGGTCTATGTTCAACCATTTCAGGAGGTAGCATATGATCAAGAATCTGTGATATTGAAAAAATGAAGTCCAAGCTGCAGTGATGGCACTGGCAAAATATAATGTTCTAGGGATTGATGAAATGCCAATTGAAATGTTTCAACAAACTGATACAACACTGGAAGGACTCACAAATCTATGCCAAGAAATTTGGAAGACAGCTATCTGGCCAACCGACTGAAAGAGATACATATTTGTGCCTATTCCAAAGAAAGGTGACCCTACAGACTATATAAAGTATTGAACAGTATCATTAATATCATACACAAGTAAAATTTCCTAAAGATGGTTCAGAAACAGTGACAGCAGTATATCAGCAGAAATTCAAGTCAGACTCAAAAGAAGGAGGGATATCATTGTTGATATCAAATGGATTTTGGCTGAAAGCAGAGAATACCAGAAAGATGTTTACTTGTGTTTTATTGACTGTGCAAATGCATTTGACTGTGTGGATCATAACAAGCTATGGATACCATTGTGAATAATGAGAATTCCAGAACAATTAATTGTGCTCATGTAGAACCTGTACATGGAACAAAAGGCAATTGTTCAAACAGAACAAGGGGATCTTGGGTGGTTTAAAATCAGGAAAGGTATGTGTCAGAGTTGTATCCACTCACCATATTCAAACTGTATGCTGAGCAAATAATCTGAGAAGATGTACTAGAATTGGAAGAAAGCTCGTTAATAACCTCAGATATGCAGATGACACAACTTTGCTTGCTGAAAGTGAAGAAGACTTGATGTACGTACTGATAAAGATTAAAGAATATACCCTTCACAATGGATTACACCTCAACATAAAGAAAATAAAAATCATTACAACTGGACCAACAAGCAACATAAAGCAATATCATGATAAAAGGAGAAAAGATTGAAGTTATTTAGGATTTTATTTTACTTGGATCAACAATCAACACCCATGGAAGCAGCAGTCAAGAAATCATACGATGTATTACATTAGAGAAATCTGCTGCAAAAGACTTCCTTAAAGTGTTAAAAAGCAAGGATGTCATTTTGAGGACTAAGGTGTGCCTGACCCAAGCCATGGTATTTTCAATTGTCTCATATGCATGTGAAAATTGTACAGTGAATAAAGGAAGACTGAAGAAGAATTGACGACTGTAAAATATGGTGTTGGCGAAGAATATTAAATATTCCATGGACTTCCAGAACAACAAACAAATCTGTCTTGGAAGAAGTATATCTAGAATGCTCCTTAGAAGGATGGCAAGACTTTGTATTATGTATTTTGGACATGTTATCAGGAGAGACTAGTTACTGGAGAAGGACATCATGCTGGGTAAAGCAGAGGGTCAGTGGTAAAGAGAAGGATTCTCATGGAGATGGATTGACACAGTGGCTACAACAATGGACTCAAACATTGCAAAAATTGTGATGACAGTGCAGTGTTTGGTTCTGTTGCACATGGGATCACTATGAATTGGATCTGAGTCAATGGCACCTAACAGCAGCAACAGCTCTGTAAAATTAGCTCAAGGTTCTTAGTCTACGAACCAATTTATAAAATGGAGGCAATAATGCCTTACTGGGTAAACAACGAGTCATTGTTGTACAATAATTCTAAGGCATATGAGTCGAGCTAGACTACCTGGCATGCCAACAAAGCCAGTGAATTGACAGGCCAGCTGATTATTTGCCAACCTACACTGATTCACTATCTATGCAACTACAGAGTTTCTATTGGAGGTGGCTAAAAGTCATTGCTATATCCTATAACTTCAAACATAGATTAGTCAAAGATGTTTCAATACATACACAAAGTGGGGAAATTCCTGAAAGCCCAGTGGAACAAAGAATGAACTTTTTGTTAAGTACCGCCAAGTCGGTTCTGACTCTTAGAAGCCCTGCATAGGGTTTCTGAGGAGTGACTGGTGAGTTTGAACCACCGACATTACGGCTAGCAGCCCAGTGCTTATTCTATAGTACCAAATCAGGATGCCAAAGAATGAACTAAGCTTCATAAAATTGCTACCAAGAAGTAAGTATGACGCCTCCAACCTATTAAACAGCTTGTAAAGTCATTTTACAAGGAGCTCTGGTAGCGTAGTGGTTACGACTCGGGCTGTGAACCGCAAGGTCAGCAGTTCGAAGCTACCAGCTGCTCCGCGGGAGAAAGATGAGGCTTTCTACTCCCGTAAAGATTTACACCCTCGGAAACCCTGTACAGGGTCGCTATGAGTCGGTTCCGACTCCACGGCACATAACAACAACAACAAAGTCATTTTAGAAATACCACACATACATATGGAATACAGATCATCCCAAATAGCAAATTTGAGAGCCCCAGTTCACCTTAATTAATTCACATCTTCTCTTGCTCCCAGGTCACTACACTCTCCTGATTCTATCCTTCTCACTGGCTACTCCATCTTGTTTTTTGTTCCCCCTTTCCTCACTGTCCTTTGAGTGACTCAATGCTCTAGGCTTGGTCCTCAGTCCTCCTTTCTTCTCTCTCCACACTAACCAACCAGTACCCAGAAAACCCCTAAACTTATGTCCCCACCTCTCACTTCCCTTGGACTGTAGTATACTTAATTAAGTTAACTTTAAAAACAGAATTTAAAATATATGCAACAAACAAAGCACTTGAACAACCAGAAAATCCTATAAGATGAATCAAACCACAGTGTTTATATATCACTTGCTTGTCTGAATTACTTGACTGTGCAATTTATAATTTGAGTGCTCAGGAAAAGGCCTGCATAATTATTCTAAACTTTTTATTGTGAATTGAGTGAAGGTTTATTGACAAGGTCATCAATTCTATATTAAACAAATCATACACTTTGTTTCATCGCAATGATTGCAATCCCCTCTTTGCAACAACAGTTATCCTACTTCCTCCCTGTGGCTCCTGTTTCCATTCCACCCACCTTCCCATGCCTTCTCAACTTTGTCTTTAGGTAAATGTTGCTTTTTTTATTTGAAATGATTGACCATTCCATAGTGAACATATCTTATTAGTGTTGTTGTTCCCGTTATAAACCTATCTACTGAAAATTGGAGCATGAGGGTAAGCTCCTTTCCAGCGTGGTTCAAGGTCATAGTCTCAGGTTCTTCCAGTCTCTTTCTGAACAGTAAACCTGGTCTTTTTTTTTAAAATAATTTTGAGTTTTGTTTCACATTTTCTCCTATTCTATCTGGGACCTTCTAATAAGATCCCTTTCAGAGGTGTTGGTAGTGGTAGCTGGGCACCATCTAGTTCTTCTGGTCTCAGAGTTGTGGAGACTGATATTTACATGTTCCATTAGTCCATTTGATTAGTTGATTTCAAGTGTCTTCAATTTTCAACAAGTTCCTTACTTTTGCACATGGAGAGACCAATAGTTGTACCTTACATAGCCACTCATGAGCTTTTAAGACACCACACAGTACTCACCAAAGTAGAAAGGAGAACACTGTCTTTGTGGAGTATGTTACTGCATAATTTTTAAAAAGTGTTTTCCATGCAATTGGCACTGAACTATACTCAACATGGTATTTGCTTAACTATGTAATCCCTAGATCTTGAACAGGTTGTGTTTCAAATATGCTTTTATAAATTGGTACTTTATGTCTTGGGACACATTTTCCATAGATTTATGGCCAGGCCATAAAAATCTCCAGCTATATTCCCAAGTCTCCTTTCCTATTCCTTTTCTCTGACACAAATTTAGTATAGCTCCCAAGGTCTAGATTATTTTAGTCATACCATCTGAGGTCAATTACAAGAGCATTACCTATACATAATCATAAATATTATCTTGCTTAGAATTTTAGTAACTACTTGCTGTCTCTTATTTCTAAGGCTCAAACAGCTAAAAATAATAAATCTCTTATCACTGGAAATAAAAACAAGTCCTGTTTTACACAATTTAAATAGATAACCTTATATTTTTTAAGTCTCAGAATGACTTCTGGTTCTCTAAAAAAATCCATTTGCATTTCATAATAGAATTATTTCAAAGTTTCCTTGAACATTCATTTGATAGAAACAAAATACTCATTTGTGATGATGAAAGAGTTGTAAATAAATGGATAGATACCCAGAAAAATTAAAACCAACCAACAACTATTTTGGAGTTCATTGGAGACCATGGTGGAGAGATAGTTAAATCTCCAAACCTCAACATCAAGAGACCAAAATTCAGAAGCTGAACCACATTTTGGGGAAATTTTTAGTTTCAGTGTTCTGAGCAACTCTAGGATCCCTGTCCTCTGGAGTGAAGACACTGCTTATATCACATGTGAGACAAATTCATCAAACCCTACACTAACATTCTGAAAGTTTGGAAAGAAATAATATTCCCAGTTTATTTGAAATTTAGTTGAAAGGTAAACATAAAACCAAGGCTGTACAGATGTAAAAATTCAAATTAGAATGGATTAATTTCTGATTACCTGCTTTAATTTTGGGACAAACATACCTAGATATTATTTAAATTATATGCATGCTACAAATTATCCAAAAGTGTCCTTATTCTTAAGTGTCTGATTAAAATACATATATGTCAAATATGTAAAAGTACATTAATATTACATTTGAAAATAATACCCTCAAATGTTCCTTATTCTGTTTTAGAGCCTGAGATCACTTACTTTCTAAACCCTTGATTTAATCTAAAAACCATCAGAACACTGAAAATTTGAGATCTTTACTCCCCTTACCTGATGTTGGTTCAACAGTAAAGGCTTGATGTACCTGAATCAAAGCCATATGAAACTCAAAATCTACAGGGCAGCTGCACTGCAAAGGAATAACATACTTCTTGCTGCAAAACAAAAATAAAAAATATAACTTTTCTTTACAACCATTTCTTTTGGTAGCTAAAGTTGTACCACAAACTACAATAGAGACAGCCAACATTAACTAGGAACTAGTCTAAGCATTTGCCACATACTAAGTAACCTGCACAACAACCTTTTGAGGTAGGTACTGTGGTGCTATAGGTTAAGTACTCAACTACAAGTTCAGTTTGAACTGCAAGTTTGGTGTTCAAACTCACCAGCCACTCCTCAGAAACTCTATACAGGTTCACTATGAGTCCGTACAGACTTAATGGCACTTAACAACAACAACAGGGTCATCCATGGTGGACAGGTTTCAGTTGAGCTTCCAGACTAACACAGCCTAGGAAGAAGGAAAAGTGGACTACTTCTGAGTGTTTAGTGACTGAAAACCTTATTTTTAATAGCAGTGGAATACTGTCAGATAGCACCAGAATATTTAAACATGAAATTGAAGAATTCTACCAACCTCTTCAGTCTGAAATTGACCAAACATGCAATCAAGATGTATTGATAATTCTTGGTGATTGGAATGCAAAGATTGGAGACAAAGAGGAAGGATCAGTAGTTGGAAAATATGGCCTTGGTACTGAAAATGATGCTGGAGATCGCATGATAGAATTTTCCAAGACCAATGACTTCTTTATTGCCAATACCTTTTTAAAACACCATAAATAGGACTATATACATAGACCGCACCAGATGGCATAGATTACAAATTGGCTACATCTGTGGGAAGAGGTGGTAGAAAAGGTCCATATCATTAGCCAAAACCAGGCCAGGGGCAGATTGTGGAACAGACCAATAATTGATCATATGCAAGTTCAGGCTGAAGAGGAAGAAAATGAATACAAGTCCATGAAAACCAAAGTCTGACCTAGAACATATCCTACCTGAATTTAGAGATTGTCTCAAGAACAGATTTGATGCATTAGACACTAAAGACCAAAGACCAGAGGAGTTGTGGGATGATATCAAGAACATCATGCAGGAAGAAAGTAAAAGGTCATTAAGATGACAAGGAAGAAGGAAAAGACCAAAATGGATGTCAAAGGAGACTCTGAAATCTGTTTTCCATTGTAGAGATGCTAGAATGAATGGAAGAAATGAGGAATTAAAAGAATAGAAGAGAACATTTCAAAGGACAGCTTGAGAAAGTAGTGTTATAATGAAATGTGCAAAGACCTGGAGTTAGAAAACCAAAAGGGAAGAATAGCTCAGCATATCTTAAGCTGAACGAACTGAAGAAAATATCCAAGCCTCAACTTTCAACATTAAAGGATTCTATGGGCAAAGGTTAGAGAGATGGCAACACTACTTTCAGCAATGTATAGACCTAGATGGAGGCTATGTTGATACCTTCATATTTTGATGTTTTTGTTTAATAAAAGTTTTTATGAGTCCTGGTGTGGTGCTGTGGGTTAATGCGCTGGACCGCAAATTTGGTTTGAACCACAAGGTTGGTGGTTCACGCTCACCAGCTGCTTCTTGGAAACCCTATGGGTCGGAACCAACTTGATGACAGTTAACAACAATAGCAACAATACATGGGCAAAATACTGAATGAAGCAGAAAGCATAAAAAGAAGCTGGGAGGAATACACAGTCATGGTACCAAATGAAATGGTTGATTTTCAACCATTTCAAGAGAGAGCATATTATGAAGAGCCAAAGATACTGAAGGAAGAAGTACAAGGTGCACTGACGGCACTGGCAAAGGACAAGTCTTTGGGAATTGATGGGATACAAACTGAAATCTTCCATCAAACTGATGCAACATTGGAGATACATATTCATCTATGCCAAGAAATTTGGAAGACAGCTAACTCACTGATTGAAAGAGATTCTATATTTGTGCCCATTCCAAAGAAAGGTGACCCAACAGAATACAGATATCATTGAACAATATTATTAATATTATATGCAAGTAAAACTTTGTTCAAGATAATTCCAAAATGTGGGCTCAGGATTGGAAGATGACGCATGAATAACTTGCGATATGCAGATGATACAATCTTGCTAGCTGAAAATTCTTCATCAAACTGTTCTGTAACATTATCTTCATACAATCGTATTCTGTCTGTTTGGTTTTGGCTGGCTTTCTTAGGATGAGATTTTGTAATTCAGACTCCAAGTTCATTTTGAATAAATGGTCATAATCTACACTGGATTTTGTAATTGCAAAATAATTGGTAGGCAATTATTCTGGGGGTATGGTGTACTCAGCCACTGGGCTGTCATCTGGGTTATAAATTGATTACTATCCTCCCATATGCCTGTTTACAACAGACTACAGAGCCACAGCCTCAAACAGCAGATCAGCAGAGATTTTCCAGCTTTCTTTCCTGGGGTGTAAATGGGGGAAGCCTCATGCTTTCTTCTGGTTTCAAGCAATAGGTCAGGTTATAATTCCTGTATCAATGGGTGTACTGTAGTTCCCTTTACCCCATGGAAGTGAACTCCAAGTCCAAACTGCCTGGAAGCCTGAGTTGTTTTTCTTGTTTCTGAAATTGGCTAGATAGATAGATAGATAGATCTATCTTTTTCATAATCTATCTGCCACTGCTACTTATTTGGAGCCGAAGAGGTGGATTGAGTTGTAAACTTATTGTGCTTATCTTGTTCAGATGACTCTAAATGTATTTTTGAGAGAGTAGCACTATGAATGCAGACACCATTCATGTCTATAAGGCAGTGTCCTGTTTCTAATGAAATTCAAATAGCATTTGATTCTAACACCTGGTTCCTTAGCTGTGCTGTCTCTGTGGGAGGAGGGTAGCTGTACTGGGAGTACATGAGTTTTCCAATAAGGTACAGGCCTGTCATGTCCAAGGGCCTGGCACTGCTGATATAAATTCTGGGTAAGAGTCACCATAGGCACAGGATAGTGGAACACGGGGTCTGGAATAGACATAGGATAGTTCGGTGCTGGGGGTGGAGGGAAGGGAAGGGGAAAAGGAAAAATTAAGGCATATGGGAGAATAGTTAGGCAGGTTTACATTGGCTAAATGGGACAGAGGTAAATAACTATCTGAGCACAAATGTGGAACAACAGGGCTTGTGGATACAAAGATTGAGGCATGGTTTGAATGGGTAAAAGTGGGGAAATGATGTTAAGATGCTTGGCTGTTTGTTGAATCTGGCTTCCCTTGCCTACCATTGTAAAAGAGACACTTGAATGGGAGAGAAGGGAATAGCCAGAAACATCACCAGAGAATACTTGTAAGTCTGTCTTCAGCCTGTAACTGTTTGGAATACCTAAAATGGGGCTAGAACTTGCCCAGTGAAGGAGGCTCCCTGCAGAGCCTTTGCACTGCACAAGACCATAGGTGGAATCCTGATCATCATCCAGAATCTTCTGAGGTGGGACATTCCCACGTGAAAGGACAAGCAGACCAGTCTGGAGCAGCTAGAACAACAGAAGGTACTTCTTGAAAGAAAGACCAGCAGAAAAACAGCAACAACAACAACAGCAGTCCAATTGACTACAACAACAACAAGCAAGATGTTCCCCAGGGAGGCATCAAGGCAAGTGGTCAGGTCCCCTCAAGGCAAATCCCCTTCCAAAACTGAAACTCAAATGGAATATACTAGCAGGCATATGGTCCTGCTGCTGACCACGTTGGTCACTGATAAGGTGAAGAGGGGGAAAAACAGCAATGAAGTTGTGAACTAAGTCCAATCACATTCAATAGACTCCTGTTAACATGGATTGACAGTATGAGGAGACCTAGGGACTCCTAGGCCCACAGGGGCAGGGAGGGACATGGCCCCAGAGGACTAGAACAGAGTATGAAGCATCCAGCTGTTATAAAGTGAGGGGGGATGCACAAGAACACCCACACTTGCAGATAGTATCCATTTGTCCTAGCATCAATGGCTGGATGATCAGAACACAACTAGAAGAAAAAATAAAGGAGTAACCCATTATAAGTGGATGAACTTGACCTATACTTGTGGATGCAGTATGACAAAGGAGCAGACAAATCTCTACAGTGAGGATCATTCTCACCCCCTTAGTGCACAGGGTTGACAGGGAGGGGGAACTTAGACATTGGCAATCCAAAATGGGGGGACTATAAAGGGAAGAAGCTTACAAAGCTTTCAATAGGGAACATAGCTCCAGAGGATATGTTGTTGTTGTTAAGTACCGTTGAGTCGGTTCCGACTCATAGCGACCCTGTACAGGGTTTCTGAGGCTGTAAATCTTTACGGGAGCAGAAAGCCTCATCTTTCTCCTGCGGAGCGGCTGGTAGTTTTGAACTGCTGACTGCGGTTCGCAGCCCGATTCATAATGACTACCTTACCAGAGTTCCTAGGATAGGGAAAGGTAGAACCTCCACTGAATTGTTTCCAACCTGTCTGGATGGGGTTAATAAGAGGTGAGGGGGTAATGACTCCTGTGGTTCAATAGGGAATGGTTGCTATCAGGTCTGACAGTGAGTGTAAATGTAAATGTAAATATTTGGTAACAAAAGGAGGGGAGTGGCTGATTTTGCAGTCCAGGGGCTGAGATCCCTGGAACCATCAAGGGAGAAAAGTGAAGTGGGAAAGGCAGTGACACTAGGGATGGAGGCAGAGGCAGAAGGAGAGGCTGGGGACTCTGGACTCAGGGAGGGAGAGGAGTTGTGTGATGGCGGCGGGTGGGAGGGGGGCAGATGAGGGGTGCAGGAGTGTGTGGTGTACCCTTTGATTGTTTGATGATGCATACAGGGGATTGTGATCATTGCAATGAAACAAAGTATGATAGGATAAATGTAAAGATAATGTTCACCCAAGTAAACTAACACATAATTCACAATAAAAACTTAAAAAAAAAAAAGAGTCACCATACAGAGTAATCTCTTCAGACAACAGTGGGACTATCATTTCCTAGCTTTTGTTTGTGTTGCTGTTTTTCCAAACTCATAAATTCACCCTAAAGTAAGCTCCGCTGGAGGCAGACAATATTAACTGTCTGAGATGCTTCCTAATTCAGGAAAATG